CTTTGTTATTATAGTTCAAAACTGATGATTTGAACAGTAAAGTATTGAGAAATTCTTTTGTATCACCAAATGTTTCCAATGTCAATTAATAAGAAAAGATTTTTATTTTGTAGTTTAAATTATATCAATCTATAAAACAGGATTTATTAGATGAGAGAACAGTTTCCAATATTATAAAGTCTACTCTATCCAATAATTTAAATTGGGTAAATGAGTACAGTCCGACCTGCACAAGTTTTGTCATAAAAATATAATACTTTATAAATCTCTATATTTCATGTTGAAATATTATGCTAAAATACTTAACTGTTATATTAAAGATGTTATTTGCTTTGTACCTAATCCTTCAGATAAACTAATATCCTGTCAATTTGAGGTAGATTATTCATTTCTTTGGACAGTTTCGAGCGGTCCTTGACAAATTGTTAAAAAAAAAAAAGTGATTTGACTTAGGATGACAGGTCCACATAGAATACAAGCATCATTGATTTGCCATTTTTCTCTTTGACCATGGTAAACTATCATCACCTTAACGTGCGGCAGAATTTCTCCGATGACTCACCGACACTGGAATTCAATATTGTTTTGAGGCTACAAGATACCTATTGGTTCAAAAGAAATTCCTTTCTCCACCTCTGTCCCCCAGCCAAACCCTTCTCTTTCCTTCTTTTTCCCTTTGTTTTTAACCCAAATCCTTCTTTTTTTCTTCCTTTTTTTTAAAGCCAAATTCTATGAGTGGATTCTACCTTTAGAAAAATTTAACCTTTAAACCCAATACACCTCTCATATTTCAACCTCTTTCCCTCGCTTGCATTTCTTTCTTTTTCTTGTTCCCTTTACCTCATTATTTTCTTGGTTCCTTTGTTCTTTGAAATGATGAAGAATTCTAGCTCTCACATATTCTGAAATGGTAAATCCCCCTAGAACTTACAAGCTGCAAAGAAATTTTCTATTTACAACACCCTCTAATTTTTATTTTTTTTTTTTAATTTGATGATTGTAGAACAAGCCCTTTACCCTAAAATATAAGGTGCTTTTTTTTTTTTTTTTTTGCTAACCTCCCATATCCAAAAGCTAGACTAACCCCAATTAATCTGTTATTGAGCTGCATCAAACCCAAAAGAAAAAAACTCTCCTAGTGTCTATTTCTTTATTCATAAAACTAAAATTTAAATTCGAGACCTCACTTAAAGAAATCGAACCCTCACCACCCATACCAACGTGGTTGGTTATAAGGTCCTCTTTGGTATTCAATTGATAGCTGATAGTCAATATCCAAACTATCTATAACTCAGTGGCCTTTACTCATTTAATAACAAAGCCAAACAGAATTCAAATAGATTAACAATAAGGAAATCCTAATTATATGAAATAAAATTAAAAAGAAGAAAGGGTTTTGTTAATGCAATGTTAAGAGGGCTGAACTTCCTTGACAGATTTATTAACTGGCTTATGCTTTGTTTTTCTACTACCATATTTTCTGTATTGATAAACAGACAGCCAAAGGGTTATTTTCAGAGGCAACGAGGGCTTCGACAAGGTGATCCAATCTCGCCTTATCTATTTGTGCTAGTGATGGAATATCTCACAAGGAAATTGAAGGAGTTAGATATGCAGGAGAAGTTTAAATATCATAGTAAGTGTCGAGTGATGCAACTTACGCACTTAATCTTTGCAGATGACATTATGCTTTTTTGTAAGGCTGATGAGGAGTCCACTATTTTGATGATGCAAAAGTTTGAGGAGTTTGCCCGAGTCTTTGGGTTGGAAGTGAATAGAATGAAAAGTCAGGTTTTCTTCAGTAGTGTTAGAGAAGGGCAGAAAGCTGCTTTAATTCAGAAGCTAGGTTTTGCTGAGGGACAGCTTCCAGTTAGATATTTGGGGTTGCCATTGATTTCAAAAAAGCTGTCTTCTGGGGCATGTCAACCTATTATTGATAAAATTCATCAGAGAATTGGCCTTTAGACAACGAAATTCCTTTCCTATGCAGGTAGAGTTCAACTAGTTAACTCTGTTTTATTCCACATTCAAGTTTTTTGGAGTGCTGCTTTATTGATTCCTAAGAAAGTGTTAAAGCTAATTGATGCTGCTTGTAGAAATTTCATTTGGTGTGGTAAATGGAATTATAATGCAATGTCTCTTGTAGCATGGGATGATGTATGTGTGCCAAGGAAAGAAGGGGGACTAGGGGTGAAGCAATTGCTGCATTGGAATAAGGCAGCATTAGGCAAATTGGTTTGGAATATATGTCAACATCAAGAGTCGCTATGGGTTAAGTGGGCACAGGTGGTACTGTTGAGGGGTGAAAATTTTTGGAAGGTTAAAATCCCAGCGGATTGTGCTTGGACATGGAAGCAAGTTTTAAAACTTCGTCCTCAACTGAAAAATATCATTTGGATGCAAGTGGGAGATGGAAGACAAGTTTCACTATTCTATGATTGGTGGGCAGGTGAGTTAAGGTTATGTGAGTTAATCTCAAAGGATGAGATCACTATTTAGTGCCATGACCTTACAGTTAGTGAGTGGTGGGATGGTTTAGATTGGACCATTCCAGATAGTTTTGTGAGAAGACATCCCATGCTTGTTTAGATTATTAGATGTCAAAAATTATCTCAACAAATGGACAAGGTTATATGGAAACCTACAAAGAATGGTTTGTTTACTATTTCAAGTTGCTATGAGTTCTTAAGAGTGAAACGCCCTAAGGTAGAATGGCATCATATTGTTTGGGCAGGGTGCATTTTCCCGCGACATAGATTCATCTTTTGGTTGGTATTGCGGGGTAGACTAAAGACTAGAGATTTACTAACAAGTAGAGGTATGAATTGAAAAAAGGTGCTGCTTGTATGGTATGAATTGAAAAAAAGTGCTGCTTGTGTGGTAGATACGATGAAACTTGTGAGCATTTGTTTTTTTATTGTAGTTTTGCTAAAGAAGTGTGGAGGTTAATCTTGGACTTTTTGAATATTTACAGCCAACCAAAAAGGTGGAGTGTTGAATGACTATGGTTAAAAAAGGCATGTAAAAAAGTGAAGTGTTGAATAACTATGGTTAAAGAAAGCATGTAAAGACTGATCGATGCAGTCAAACAAGTTGAAGGGTGCGGTAGCTGCCGCTATATATATGATTTGGCAGGAAAGGAAAGAAATAAGAGAGTATCTTTTAATAAGTTTTTAGTTGAAAATGATGTATATAATGATATAATTAATTTTTTGAGATTAAAGATCTTAAAGATGTAATTCCCAAGTATAGCTGGATGTACATGTCATCTAACATCTCATGGAAAACTTGCTTTTTTTCAAAAAAAAAAAATTAAAAAGAAGAAACCTAGAGATCATGTAGGAAAAATAAAATAAAAATTACAATAATCTTTTACAGAGCAATTCGAATATACTTAAAAATTATAACAACAATACATCCAGCAATAACATCACAGACCGATATCATTACTTAACCTTCTTTCTTCATTTACGACAAAAAGGAAAAATGTCAAAAAAAAAAAAAAGAATATTAAAAGCCAACAAAAAAGGAAAAAAAATATTCAATTTCGGCACCTTGTAATGGCACTGCAGCCGCGGGTGTAGGGATTGGCCTGAGCTCCGGGCTGGCAATTGTAGTAGGAGGCGCCGCGTCGGGAGCAGGGCACGGTGTTCTTCTGCAGTGCACCGTAGCTGATGTACTTGGTGGTGGCTAGAATACGCCTACTGATCTCGGAATCCAGCTCGAACTCCTCCTCTCCGGCCAAACACTCCGCTATGGACCCCTTGCAGTTCGATCTGATGGGTATCCACCCCAGGATGTGCTGGTGGTTCCCACTCGCTTCCACCGCCCACGACTGGCTCACCACCACCGTCAAGACCAACATCGCCGCCACCCAGATCGCTGAAAACCTGATCGAACCCAAGAACCCGGCCATTGTAATGGGTTTTTGCTACTTTCCTCTGAGATTTGTTGGGTTTCTTCTGCTTCTCTTCTTCTCTTTCTTGGACGCGCAGATTTGTTGGTTTCTTCCCGTCTGTTTCTCTCTTTCTTTGGGTTTCGTATTTAATTTCTATATTTTGAGTTTTAATACAACTGGTGAGGAGGGCAAGTTGCCACTTATGATTGTCCGGACCTTCAGAAATGCCATTGGTTTAGCTGTTAATTACAAAGTTGCCACTTCATGAATTGTACGGAGTTCGAACTTTGAAATGGATAGGTCGGAAAACAACTAGTTGTGAGAAGGAATGAAATGAAAGGGTAATGATAATGATGAGGTTCTAGCCACTTGTCTCTTTAATTTTTTTTTAGGTGATTAGTTTTTTTTTAATCACTAATTTTATTCATAATTTTGTCAATTAATAATTTTTTAAATAATTAATTATGATATTTGTTAATTTTTTTTATAGAAAAAAATTTATCTAAATTGTGCTTATTGATTAAGGTGTCTTTAATTAATTTTTTATAAATTTTCATATTAAATTTATAATTTTTTTTATAAATTGAGTATAAATATTATCTTATATTCTATTTGAATTTTGTATAAAATTTATTATAAATATTATAATTAATAAAATTTAATATGTACTTAAAAAAAACAAATTAAAAAGTTTCATTAAAAAACTATAATTATTTTTCTTAATATATGAGATGAGATGGGTATAAAATTATGTCCTCAGAGGAGAATTTTTTTTTTATAAGGATAATGGTTAGTAAATTAATATTGTTAGATATTAACAATTAAAAATTTAATTTTCAGATCAAATAAACAACCCATCAATCTCAATAAAACGCACAACAATTAAGCTGCTCGGTGGAGCAACAGTTGCTCCGTAGAGGAGAATTAATCATTCACATTCGCTTAATGTGACTAAAACACACTCTCGCTATCCAAAAAAAATAAGTGTCAACATCAACAAATGATTCCTCTCTAAACTATATGGCAAGTTTGTAATAAAAAGTGATTATGGAGGACAGACTTAGAAGCCCCACTTTATAAAGTAAGTTGGACTGTTTGTCTTAACGTGGTTGGGTAGGAAGAGAAAAATAAAAGAAACAGAAAAAAAGGGGAAAAAAGAAATTAAGAATAGGAAAGAGGGCATCTATGGTAGGGTAGGGTAGGGTAGGGTAGGGTAGGGTAGGGTTACCACTTACCACCTTCTCTCTCTGTTTAAAGTGTTAACTGAATCCATCTTCTCTTTCCTAATCCTCAGTCCCTGCCGTTTCCGTTAATTATAGCGCCTTTCTTTTTTTTTCAAATTTTTTTTTTATTTTGGCAGTTTCTTACCTAAAGTTTTTTTTTTTTTATGTTAATCATAAAACTATTTTAATTGTAATGTATTATTTTATAATTTAAAATAATTTAAATTAAAAAATATTTTTTATTTAAAAATAATATTTATTTATCTTATTTTTTAAATTATTTTATATTAATTTTTTAATTTTTTGATACATCTAATTATAAATTATATAAAAAAATAACTCTCTTTTTTTTTAAATCATTTTTCATCTTACTTAAATTTTGAATTTAAAATTTTTAACTTAAAATCTTAAGTTTTTTAGCTGTTTAATCACCTAATTGGGATTTATATTATTTTTCAATACATATTCATTACATCTATATATAGTATGAATCAATCATAAAATTTAATTAGGACAAACTTATGGTATATTTAAAGTAAAGATTTTAAAGCTTCAAAGTCTACATTTAAAATAATCATCAAATTATGTCGTTTAAATTTAACAAAACATTTTTACTTCATGTTTTATTACAACTTTATCTTATAAATTCGTTTATTACTAGTTACAACATGCAAGAACAGCAAGACTTTCTACCATGGCACGGTCCACAAGACCACAAGAACAAATTCAATTTGGTAACATCACAAAAGGCTACACGATTACTAAAAATAAATCTATTTTTTTAATAAAAAATAATTCGAGAAAATACTTGACGGCGTTAGCACCGACGTAATGAGCACGTAGCCGTTATGAAACGTGGGCCCTCTGCACAGATCACTGACACGGTGTTTGCGCGTCCCAAAATCAACCCTCATCTCGCCAGCTGGCTACTTTCAATATTTCTTTTCCAAATTAAATACTGTAAGAGAAAATTTGAAAATTGAACGTCTTACTAAAAAGTATCAAAATATTTAGTTTTGATCATAATTTAAACAAGATTTATTTTATATCTTTTTTATTATATAACTTTGATTAAACATTATAATTTTTTACACTTGAATTTTTAAATTTAGTGGCAACAAAGTCACATTAAAATATATTTTCCTCTTTTTAAGCAATGGTTTAAATTTGACTCATGTAAACATGTTTAAAAATATATATTATAATTTTTAAAATATTTATTAAATAATTATTTTTATTTTTTATTTTTTATAAAAATAATATAAGTATAATATTATATAAAATTAT